TTATAAAATTAAGAACCTACTGTTGTGAAAGTAGTTTGGAAACTCCAACGTGCTATGGAAATATAAGCAATTACTACTGTCATTGAGAAATGCTACCAATAATACTTAAGAATCTGAAACAACTCAGCTTGAAAAGCTAAGATTAGCAGAACAGTGCTATCTCCAAATATTTGAAGAACTATAAGAGATTCGACTCATTTTTGTATTTAGTTCCAGAGGAGCAGATGGTGATCACTGTCCAGACAGATGTGTCTCAATATAAGGACACCATCTGTAATGTTAATAATTAGAATGTATCCTGTAATTTTCTCTCTATCTTTGGAAACCAGTTGAGATCCAGAATCTTTCACTGGGCGGTTTAAAGCCTAGAGCAGCCTTGGTGCTAGAGCAGGGAGGGGTAATGAATTAATCTTGAACCAATTCATCACACAGCAATCTCAAGGCTTTCGTTAGCTCTTACAGGTATTTAACGTGGCCAGAGGATTGAAGGAGGTCATGTTGGTTTGGAAGCCCTGCCTACCACAACCCCTGCACCGCCCCATCCCCTGAATACTTTGATGTCATCACCAGCGGAAATGTTTAAACAGTAGTGAATATGCAGGACAGAATCCTGCACTGGATAAAGAGTGGAGCTTTGAATTTCAAGGTCATATTCAACTGAATATAAGCTAGAGAAATGGGAACTTTTGAAGGTGATGATGAATACATGAGCTTAAAAAGGATTGGAAAGGGCCGGGTACGGTGGCTTTTGCCTGTAATCTCAGCACTTTGGGAGGCTGAGGCAGATGGATCACCTGAGGTCAGGAGTTCAAACCCAGTCTGACCAACATAGTGAAACCCTGTCTCTACTAAAAAATACAAAAATTAGCCAGGGGTGGTGGCAGGTGCCTGTAATCCCAACTACTTTAAACGCTGAGGCAAGGAGAATTGCTTCAATCTGGGAGGCAGAGGTTGTAGTGAGCAGAAATCATGCCATCGCCCTCCAGCCTGGGTGACAAGAATGAAACTCCATCTCAAAAAAGGAAAAAGAAAAAAAAAAAAAAGAAAAAGATTGTGAAGAAGAGATACTAACTTCTCTTTTTGCCTCCCTGAAGTAGAGAAAACAGAGTTTAGGCTACGATTTATATTGACTATGTGTCCCAGCTTCATAAAAATCAATACATAAAATTCTCTGTAGCAAGTAAAAATAATTGCAGATTAACACACTGTTTATATATTAATCACATCAGTTTATATATATAATGCATATACATGAAAACACACACAAAAATGCAAAAATAAATTACATAGAACAGTTCTTAATTTACTTATTTTCATTTTGGCACTTATGTGACCTTGATTGTCAAGTGCATTAACCTACAGAAAACAGAGATTTGATGAACCTTGAATCCATTTAGAACCTGTCTTCTCTGCTAGCAAAAGAGAATGTATGTTTTTAGAAAAACATTTGGCCCACAGATGATATGAGAAAAAGCTTTTCCCATTTAAATAGCTGCTATTTTTATAAATGGAACCATATCAACTTTTCCATAAGGAGAAAACACACTCTTGTGAAGAGCCGAGAAATTCTGGGGTGCGCGTGTGTGTGTGCTGGAGTTGCCAAGTAGCTTTCCCTTACATTTAAGCAACATAACTTAGGAAAGAAAAGAGATGCACTTAGAGTTATTTCCCTGTCCTGTGCAGGTTAGTATAGCAGAGTGGAAGTCTTAAGGGAAGATAAGGAGCCTGGGGGAAAAGTGTAATTATGCCTGAAGGATTTCCTGGGAGTCGGTAGGTAATGTGAAATGAAATTGGGGAGGTGACGAGGCTGCACTCCCCTGATGCCAGTGTGTGCTTTCATTTGATATTAATAGTCACTGAGCCAAGGGGGAAACATCTTTACCTTTCAAAATAACTCATTGCTATCTATACACACGAGCTAGAATGTTCAGGCCACGTTCACAAAATTCTCAATTAGAAACACTGTCTATCTGAAAATAATTATAAAATATATTGTATGGCAATGTTTTTCCAACGTAAAGAAAAACCCATGAAACCATTACACACTCTCTGAAATTCAAAACCCGTCTAGTCAACAGGGACTACCTTCTACAGATTCATTTTCTTATTCATGTGGTGCGTTTATGAGTTCCATTAACAGAGATGAAAATTACACACAGGTATCCAGAAAAAGACATCTGAGGCCTTCCACACTTCACATTATTATCAGTGGGAATATCAGAGGGCAGTTTTCTTTCTGCATCATTCTCTCTCTGAGTGAAAGCTTATTATTTAACTGCATTTGTCAGCTAATCAGCCAGAACGTGAAGCTATTAAAATTTAGAACCGGCCTCTGCAAAGGTAGATGTCCTGTGAAACACCAAAATGAAAATCGCCTGGTGTTATGATGACCACCTTAACTTGAAGCCATAATCATTAGGGTGCATTTCTCAAGGCAGCGTACAGGGCACATGTGGATAATCACTGGAACTGTGTTTTCTTCTAAAGCTTGCCATTTAGGGACTCCATCCTCAGTTCTGGGACAATAGGCTAAGCCCCCTTTCAATTTATCAAATCAATGTCAGATCTCAGCTGGCAAAGGCAGCCTTTGAGGCTGTCTCCATCAAAATGTAGAAGGCCACAGTTCCAGCCAGAGTCATAGAAAGGCAAGAAGAGCCTAAGAAAATCCCAGCTGCAAAACAAAACCCATGCTTTTTCCAAAGCACATCCCAGTGCTGAGATCTGGTCACATGAAACATGTTCTACAGCTACTCTTTTGAGTGTTCTGGTCATTTCTATGCAATACTAGCATATTCAGTATTCTTTGTACATTCAAAATACTGTGAATTGGGTGGCTTCTAAACAACAGAAATTTATTTCTCACAGTTCTGGAGACTGGGAAATTCAAGTTCAAGGCACTGACAAATTCAAGTTTTGGTGAGGGTTTCTATTCCATAGGCAATGCCTTCTTGCTGTGTCTTCACATGGTGGAAAGGGCAAGGGGTGTCTCTCAGGCCTTTTTTAAAATGAAGCAGTTAATCCCATTCATGAAGGCTTCACTCTCATGACCTAATCACCTCCCAAAGACCTTTGCTATTTGGCTTCTAATTACAGCTATTTCAAAAGGAAAAGTGTATCTTTTCAGACTTTGTGTAGAGCTATGATCGGAATGTTTTAATCCCCCAAAATCCATACGTTGTAATAGTAATCTCGAAGGGGATGGTATTAGAAGGTGGGGCCTTTGGCAAGTACTGAGCCTTTTCAACTAACATCTGAATTCCTGGCCCTAAGCACCATTGTTTTGTAGCCCCTCCTCTACTTAGACTTCTCTTGATGGGAGTCGCTGTAAACTTCTTTTGTTACAAAAAGGTTGTATTCTGCCACTAGTGAGTAACGGAGTAAGAGTCATTAAGAAAGGCCCTTTGTTAAGATGCCAGTCCTTTGTCAGGCAGTCCGGTAATATAATTGGCAAAATTCAGAAGCTGATGTGAGAGCTAGCATAACTATGTTACACTCTTGGACTGTCACCAAAACCCAGGTTTGACATCTGAATTTAACTGACACTGTTTGCCTGCTTTGAGGCTGTCCTTTGATTGTGTCGCTAACTGCAAATGAGAATGGTTCCCCGAGGGAAGCCTTTGGGATCACAAATTCATAAACATCTGGGAATCAAATCTCTTTCAATTACATTAATTATCTGCTATATGCAGGAGAAAGTTTTGAATATAAAATAATGTTATTTTAATCTCAAGGTTAGAGAGAGATTTTAAACTTTCTTTAAACCCCAAATGCCCTTTAAGACCGCAGAAGGGAAGAATCTGGCCTGGGCACAGTGGCTCATGTCTGTAATCTTAGCACTTTGGGAGGCCAAAGTGGGTAGATCACCTGAGGTAAGGAGTTTGAGACCAAACTGACCAACATGGTGAAACTCCACCTCTACCGAAAATACAAAAAATTAGCTGAGTGTGTGGCGGGCGTCTGTAATCCCAGCTACTCTGGAAGCTGGGCAGAATTGCTTGAACCCGGGAGGTGGAGGTTGCAGTGAGCTGAGATTGCACCATTGCACTCCAGCCTAGGCAAAAAGAGTGAGTTTCTGTCTCAAACAAAACAAAAAACAAAACACCCAGAGGCGAAGAATCTATATGCATATTGCAATGAAATTGTTATTTAACATATGCAGGGAAGCACATCCTTGAGCAACATCATTAGAGTGCCTGGTAAATCAAATGGTTGGGATATTTCTTTCAGTCAATCAGGCAAAGAAAGTCCGGGCTGCCAAATTATTTACTATGTGGTTCTAACGTTATTTTACTCAATTGGCACTGTCTGCCTAGACTAGCTTAGTGTTCAATATGGTTCATTTCTGTTGATCTTTTTTTTTTTTTTGAAATCTTACTCACATTCTTCTCATCTGAAGATACCTATTGCCATCACTAAGCCAGCCTATCGTCCACCTCTTGCCAGTACAACCCACACCATGTGAATGTTGCAGCAGCACTTCCATCATGGTTCTCCCTGTGTAAGTAGCTCACCTATTGGAGCAAGCCTAAAGCCTAAATCTCCCTCACCATGCCTCAGCTTGCAACTGATGGTCTTCTCTGCCGTATCTGCAGGCAGCCTCTTCCTGGCAGTCAGGCAGGGCTCCTTGCTGAATGATCTATACAATATGCTCACTGGTATGTGTTTTGCTTTTACCTATGCTGTGGTCACTGACTGTAATGTCCTTCTCCTCCTCTCCTGCTTCCCATGATCAATTGTTTGTCATGTTCAAGGTCCTCTTGGGTTCTGCCCCACCTGGCCCTTTTGGCCCACACAATCTCTCTCCTTCTCTAAGTAGTGTTTATAGATGATAGCATGGGCTTTGCTATGGTTGTGTGTTCTCATGTGCATGTGTGAATATATATGTATCTATAGATAGACACTGCTTGTGATTTTTTCAAGAAAACAGCTTCTACTTGTTTCGTTCAAAATATCTGAGACCAGTTATTTTCGTTTGTTTGTTTTTAGAAAAAAACTGACATCCGGGAAGAGCATGACACAGTCCCCACTACCACACACTATGCGGCCGAGTGAGTTTCCCACATTCGGGGAAATCAGGGGTTCAGCATATCAGAATGTAATGGGTAAGCTCACCCTGGGAAAAACCACTTTCATGATCACACCATCTCCCCTGCCAGGTAAGACCAGTCTGAATTTCACTGTTTTCATAAAATATGCCCAAAAAACGTGGATTTGTTATATTCTACCTCACTTCTAGTGAGATCTATCACTTAACAAAGTAAGTGACTGAAATGTCCCAGAAGATGTCAAAGCACCATGTTATCTGCCCTCCCTGGCCTCCTAATCCTGAATTACTTCCCTTAGTTATCTCCCCTCCCCTTATCTTTATGTGATAATAAAGAATCATTTGAAAAGGCCAGAGGGTGCAGCTGGGATCAAAAGTCAGGCAGACAAATATGTCACCTGTTCATACAATACAGGTTCCTTCCTAATTTGGAAATGAGATTATAGTTTCACAATAGCCAAAAACCAACAGCAAACCTGATAATGAAAGCGTAGTAAGGTTCACTTCTTTCATGGTATTAATATTTCGGTGACTAAGACACATTTCCAAGAAATAACAATTAAGGGGGAAATGTAATTTAACAGTATTTTTATGTAAAACCATTGCATGTTTAAATTTATATAAATTCCATTTTGAAATATTTCTCAAAATGTAAACAACACATAAATGATGTATGAATCAATGAATTTGCATACATCTAATCTGAAGCTATAAATATTTGGGGTTTATTGATCTGAGCATTGCACTGAAAACTCTACTATCATTATTATCTTAATATGTTCATATAAGGTCCAATGGTAATTTTACTTTTTTTTTTTTTTTTGAGATAGAGTTTTGTTCTTGTTGCCCAGGCTGGAGTGCAATGGCATGATCTTGGCTCACCGCAACCCCTGCCTCCTGGGTTCAAGCGATTCTCCTGCCTCAGCCTCCCGAGTAGCTGGCATTACAGGTATGTACCACCACTCCTAGCTTATTTTGTAGTTTTAGTAGAGATGGGATTTCTCCATGTTGGTCAGGCTGGTCTTGAACTCCTGACTTCAGGTGGTCCACCTGCCTCGGCCTCCCAAAGTACTGGGATTACAGGTGTGAGCCACCATGCCTAGCCAATTTGACATTTTTAATGTGTCCCAATGGTAAAACATTTTGACTATTGATGATTATATTTACAAAAGAAACAACTAGCACCCTATTTTCTAGCAAATAATAATGTTATATAGAATCACTGAGAGAAACTGCATGGACCATGTGTTCCTCTAGTACTTTCTTCTTGGACAAATTTAAGTTGTATCTTTTTATTTTCAGTAAGTATCACACCCCGAAAAACCTCTTTTCTCTGTGGTTCTATGGTAAGGTATCAAGGGCATAGACTCTGAAATCCAATGGTCTCAAATTCAGATTTTGATTCAGCTATTTCTTAAGTGAGTGGCACTGGGCAATTCACTTAGTATCGCTGAGTTTGGGTATCTGGAATGGATAGAGTGGTGGTGGTACAATACTTACTATTTAAAGTTGGAATATGGCTAAAATAAATAATTATTAATAAGGTGCCTTGCCTGTTGGATTGCTGGAACTGCCGGTACTAGCTTAAGGGAAACACGTTGTAAAATACTACAAACCATGTAGAGTTAGAAAGGCACCCTTGGTTCCGTTGCTACCCTCTATCTTTTGAAGGTAGTTGTTGTTCAGAGGATCTCAGCAGCCAGAAATACGGCTGCTGATTTTATAATTTTCCAGCAGGCTCTTGTGAATCACCATATGCTTTAATTTTTTTTCTAAGAAATTCTGGCAGCATTAAAAAAAGGAATTCACTATGCCAATGCCAATCTAAAGATGTCAATCTACAACTTAATACCTTTGCTACTTTTATTCTTCAACGTGAAGTCAAAATCTCCACCATTGGCTTGTCATGGCCAGTGTCTTTGTCTAAATGACACTGTGTATAATGACATATAGTGGGATTTTCTCTTTGAAGTCCGGTGGGGAAAGGGGTGGTATGCTTGACATGTCTTTATTCTTTTTCTTTTTTTCTTTAAGAAACCCTTATTAAACCTTTAAGACAGTGCTTTTTCCAACTCTCTTCAAACTTTGAAGGATCTTTGTGCAGTTCATCCAAAACACAACTCATCGCACAGCATTGACACACAGGCTGTGGGGCAGGGGAGATCACGGGCATGGAAAAGCGCAACGCAGGGGTTTAACAAGCATTTCTTTAACTGAATTTAGGAACTTTTACTTTCCTCCAAAGCAGATGGTTCCTTGCTCTAAGATCTCCAGTGTCTTCCCACGGCCAGTAGACCTGCATGGCCTTCCCACTGCCGACCGCTCTGCCTCTATTCTGTGTGTGTGCCACGTCAGCTACACGTGTCCATCTTCCTAATGATCCTCGCACATGCCACTCGTGGCTACCTCATGGTTCTGACACTTGCCGTCCACCTCACATGCTTTCCCTTCCCAATGTCTTTCCATGGCATGCTCTCCCTGCTCTCTCTGTCACTCATTTCAGTTAAGGATGTGTACCCCTTGAGCCTTCCCAAATTGATCTTGCCATTCTCTTATTCTACTCTATTTTATTTCAAAGAGTTTATCACTGCCTGAATTTCTGTGTATTTTCTGTTCAGGGTTTCTTCCACTAGTCTTCCTTCCACTGGTCTCTGGCCTCCAGAAGACTGGATGTTGTCTTTTTTTCTACTGTATCCTCAGCATCAGAGCGGTGCCTAACCATGATAGAAACTCAAAGACTAAATGAATACATGAGTGTCATGCATATATAGAGTAGTGGACTTCCCCTGGTTATACTTTCTAAAAAAGCAGGAAAGAGTCAGGAACTAGCATGGTATATGGCAGAGCCCTGACGTAGTTCCTTTAACTGTATTTTCTCATTTAATTATTATTATGGAGTATCTTTCATTCTCATTTTAGAGCCGAAGCCTCTGATTTTAGAATTTAAATTGCCCAATCTAAACTTGTCTAATCTAAAGATATACACTTAGAAAGTGACTGCCAGCATTTAAGCCCTAGGTTTTAGATTCCAAATTTGATAATTTTGTCTCTACATAACACAGATGTAAAATAGTTTTTAAAGAAGCTTAGAGAGTTTACAGACTTTGCTGATTTTTAGTTAAGTGGCTAATATTACAAGGTAATTGATTCAGCAGCTGGGATAAGAGAAATAATTAAATGAATGTTTACATAAGCAAAGAGCCAAACCGGCAATTGACTCAATAAAGCCTACTATGCTTATATTTTCCTTTGGCTCTCTGTCTTTCCAGCTTCCCTTGGATAGAGTTACCCCTTAAAATTCAGTACATGTTCTTTTTGGTCTATAAAGAGCTTATTCTTTTTGATGACTTCATAACCTTAATTTTGCATTTCTATGACTGACCTTCAGTTTGAATTCCAGCCTGTCTCCTAATGTCTACTGAATATTCTCACTTTGGGTTCTTTTTGTTATGTACTCAAAGTCAATATTACTCTGTGTCCCCGTCTGGCTTCCTTGTCCTAAATTTTCGCTTCCAGATGCTAAGCATTAGCCATATTTAATTATGTGGCCAAATAACTGTTATACCCTATTCTTTCTTAAATTATGCCTATATCTTGTATTTATATCAAATTTACTATTTTCACTGCCAGTATATTTCAAATACATGTGCACTCACACAGCAATTGCTACAATAGCTGCTTTTTTTTGTTGTTTTGTTTTGTTTTTATTTTTAGTTTTTACTTTTAAGTTCACATGTACATGTACAGGTTTGTTACATAGGTAACCTTGTGACATGGGGGTTTGTTGTACAGATTATTTCATCACCAAGTATTAATTAAGACTAGAACCCATTAGCTACTTTTTCTGATTCTCTCCCTCCTCCCACCCTTCACCCTCTGAAAAGCCTCAGTGTCTGATTGTTCCCCTCAGTGTCTGCTGTTTCCCTCTGTGTGTCCATGAATTCTCATCATTTGGCTCCCACTTATAAGAGAGAACAGGTGGTATTTGGTTTTCTGTTCCTACATTAGTTTGCTGAGGATAATGGCCTCCACCTCCATGCATGTTCCTGCAAAGGCCATTACCTCATTCTTTTTCATGGCTGCATAGTATTCCGTGATGTATGTGTACCACATTTCTTTAACCAACTTACAACTGATGGGCATTTAGGTTGATTACCTGTCTCTGCTCTTGTGAATAGTGCTGCAATGAACATATACCTGCATGTGTATTCATAACAGAACAATTTATAATCCCTGTGGTAATGGATTGCTGAGTCAAATGGCATCTCTGTCTTTGGGTCTTTGTGGAATTGTCACTCTGTCTTCCACAATGGTTGCACTAACTCACACTCCCACCAACAGTGTATAAGCATTTTTTTCTCCACAACCTCGCCAGCATCTGTTATTTTTTGACTTTTTAGTAATAGCCATTCTGATTATTGTTAGATGGTATCTTACTGTGGTTTTTATTTGCATTTCTCTAATGATCAGTAATGTTGAGCTTTTCTTCATGATTGTTGGTGCATGTATGTCATCTTTTGGAAAGTGTTTGCTCATGTCCTTTGCCCACTTTTTAATGCGACTGTTTTTTTCTTGTAAATATTTTAAGTTCTTTATAGCTGCTAGATGTTAGACCTCTGTTGAACGTATAGTTTGCAAAAATTGTCTTCCATTCTCTATTTTGCCTGTTTCCTCTGTTGATAGTTTCTTTTGCTGGGCAGAAGCTCTTAAGTTTTTTGTTTTGTTTTGTTTTGTTTTGTTTTGTTTTGTTTTGTTTTTTTTTGAGACAGTTTCGCTCTTGTTACCCAGGCTGGAGTGCAATGGCGCGATCCCGGCTCACCGCAACCTCTGCCTCCTGGGTTCAGGCAATTCTCCTGCCTCAGCCTCCTGAGTAGCTGGGATTACAGGCACGCGCCACCATGCCCAGCTAATTTTTTTGTATTTTTTTTTTAATAGAGACGGGGTTTCACCATGTTGACCAGGATGGTCTCGATCTCTTGACCTTGTGATCCACCCGCCTCAGCCTCCCAAAGTGCTGGGATTACAGGCTTGAGCCACCACGCCCAGCTCAGAAGCTCTTAAGTTTAATTAGATTTTATTTGTCAATCTTTGCTTTTGTTGCAACTGCTTTTGGCATCTTT